GGTGAACTTCAAGCAGGTGGACGACCTGGCGAGCGTGTGGTGTGAGTGCGGTGAGCTGGAGCTCCGGCATGAGAACTACGACCAGGCACTGCGGCTGCTGCGGGTGCGGGCAGGCCCGGGTCATGGGGAGGGGGCCGCGGGGTGTGCACCAGGCCAGGCCACCCCCTGAGTGCCCTGCCCCCGGTGTCTCCCTGCAGAAGGCGACGGCGCTGCCCGCCCGCCGGGCCGAGTACTTCGATGGCTCGGAGCCTGTGCAGAACCGCGTGTACAAGTCCCTGAAGGTGTGGTCGATGCTCGCTGACCTGGAAGAGAGCCTCGGCACCTTCCAGGTAAGCTGCCGGGAGGCAGGATCGTGGCTGGGAGGGCTGGGGACCTGGGCTCACCCCCAGACCTGCCCTGACCCGCCCCTGCAGTCCACCAAGGCTGTGTACGACCGCATCCTGGACCTGCGCATCGCCACGCCCCAGATTGTCATCAACTACGCCATGTTCCTGGAGGAGCACAAGTACTTCGAGGAGAGCTTCAAGGTGAGGGTGGGGCGGGCTGTGGGCTGAGTGTGCGGGTCCTGCCTCTGTAGGGTGGGGAGTCCTGGGGGTCAGCTGTCCCCACCCCGCTGCCCAGGTGACGGGTGTGCACTTGTGGGCGTTTTACCTGTGTGTGTGCACGTGGTGAGTTCCGTCACCTTGTCTGAGTAGTCTTGTCTGTGTACCTGTGGGGATTGTACGCGTGGGGGTAGATTATATGCATACACATGTTGGTGGCTGTTCCCTGCTTTCTGCCTGAGTGGCTTTGCTTTCGTGTTTTTGCAGACGTTGTCCACATGTGTGCGTAAAGGGAAATAGTATACGTACATGTGTGCAGGGTCTGTCCTCACCCCCTCCCTGAGTGGTTTTGTGTGTGTACATCTGTGGAGGTTGTGTACGTGAGCACATAAGGGGAGTGCGTACATGCGCACATACGTGTGTGCAGGACATGTCCCCACCCCCCGACTGGTTTTGTGTGTAGGTATGTATGGAGTCATGTGCATGCGTACGTATCGGGAGGTTGTACACGTACGTGGGTGCAGGGCGCTGGGTCCAGCCCCCACCTTCACCCCTCATGTCACCTCCTGGGTGCCAGGCCTTGTGCTTAGTGAGTCCCACTCCACCCCGTCCTTGGGGTCCTGGTGGTCTGTTGAGGGAGACAGGGCAGCAGACAGCCCTTCCCAACCGTGCCATAATGGGGTGACACAGTGTGGGGAGAGAACAGGGAAGGGACACATTTACTGGGCTCCGAGGAGGCATGGGCAGCCTCGGAAGGGCATGCTGGGTGCCAGCGCATCACGAACACCTGTGAACTCACACACACGTGACTGATGGTTCCTTTCCTTGGGGCAGGCTTACGAGCGTGGCATCTCACTGTTCAAGTGGCCCAATGTGTCCGACATCTGGAGCACCTACCTAACCAAGTTCATTGCCCGCTACGGGGGCCGCAAGCTGGAGCGGGCACGGGATCTCTTTGAGCAGGCGCTGGATGGCTGCCCTCCCAAATACGCCAAGAGTGAGGGGGGCTGGGCTGGGGAGGGCGGGGTAGGGCGCCATGACCCTGGCCCCTAACCACCAGCCCCTCGCCACCCCCCACAGCGCTGTACCTGCTGTACGCACAGCTGGAGGAGGAGTGGGGCCTGGCGCGGCACGCCATGGCCGTGTACGAGCGCGCCACCCGGGCTGTGGAGCCCGCCCAGCAGTACGACATGTTCAACATCTACATCAAGCGGGCCGCCGAGATTTACGGCGTCACCCACACCCGCGGCATTTACCAGAAGGCCATTGAGGTGCCCACGCGGGGCAGGGGGCACCTGGAGTTCCCGTGGGGTGGAAGGGCACCCAGCAAGCTGTGGGTGGGGCTGGGAGGAGACTTTCTGGAAGCCCGAGGACCATGCCAGAGTGCTGGGAACCTGTCCGGCTGCCCTCATGCCCCACCCCTACCAGTTCCACTCATGCTGTCCCCCTGCCCTGGCCCCTGCACCCAGGTGCTGTCAGACGAGCACGCCCGGGAGATGTGCCTGCGCTTTGCCGACATGGAGTGCAAGCTCGGCGAGATCGACCGTGCCCGCGCCATCTACAGCTTCTGCTCCCAGATCTGCGACCCCCGGGTGGGTCTGGGGCCCGGGAAAGGTGGCCAACCAGACAGGCGGGGGCCCAGGTCACAGGGTGGGGGCGCTGAGGAGTTGCAGCGGGCGAGGCAGCCCTCTCACACTCATGCAACCCGCAGACGACCGGGGCGTTCTGGCAAACGTGGAAGGACTTCGAGGTCCGGCATGGCAATGAGGACACAATCCGGGAGATGCTGCGGATCCGGCGCAGTGTGCAGGCCACCTACAACACACAAGTCAACTTCATGGCCTCACAGATGCTCAAGGTGTCGGGCAGCGCCACAGGCACTGGTGAGTGGCAGTGGGCCACAGCCACATCCATGGCCACCCTCGTCTTGGGCAGGCCCCATGGATATACAGTTTCCTGCATCGTCCCTCTGCCAGCCTTGACTTCTTGGTCTGGGAGTGGCTCCAATTCGGCCTCCTCACATCTGACCAGAAAGTCTTTGAGGGTTGGGTCTAGGGTGGGAGGATGGGTGGGTGGATGGACGTATGGGTGGGTGAATGGATTGGATTGGTGGGTGGGTGGGTAGATGCGTGGATGGGTGGATGGATGGATAGGTGGGTGGATAGATAGGTAGATGAATGAGTGGGTGGGTGGATGGATGAGTGGGTGGATGGGTGGATGAATGGGTACGTGAGTGGGTAGTGGGTGGATGGATGGGTGAATGGGTACGTGAGTGGGTAGTGGGTGGATGGATGGGTGGGTGGATGAGTGGGTACATGAGTGAGTGGGTGGGCGGGTGGATGAATTGATGGGTGGGTTGGTGGGCAGCAGCCCCCTGAGTGAGGCAGGTACACGGGTGACAGGAGGCTTTCTGACCACTACCTCCCCCGCAGTGTCGGACCTGGCCCCCGGACAGAGTGGCATGGACGACATGAAGCTGCTGGAGCAGCGGGCAGAGCAGCTGGCGGCAGAGGCAGAGCGGGACCAGCCTCCTCGGGCCCAGAGCAAGATCCTCTTTGTGAGGTGAGGTGTGGGGCCGGGAACTACACTGGGACCGACTCAGGTTCCCTTCAGGACAGGAGGTGCAGGGGGTGTGGGGGAGGGGGGCTGGTCCCAGCTGAGGCTGTGTGGCCTCCTCCCCCCACCCCCCAGGAGCGATGCCTCCCGTGAGGAGCTGGCAGAGCTGGCCCAGCAGGCCAACCCCGAGGAGATTGAGCTCGGGGAGGACGAGGATGAGGACGAGATGGATCTGGAACCCAATGGTGGGTGAGGGGCCGGTCAGGCAGGGAGAGGTGGGGCAGGAGTCCGTCCAGGGAGTGACCGGCCATCTCCCCTTCCCCACAGAGGTACGGCTAGAGCAGCAGAGCGTGCCGGCCGCTGTGTTCGGGAGCCTGAAGGACGACTAGCTCCTCTACGCCTCCTCCTTTTCTTCCCTCCCCCGCCCAAAATAAAGCCTACGTTTGTACCTCACGGTCTGAGCCTCCTTCCTGCTGCCCAGGTGCCTGTGGGGACTGCCAGCTCAGTAGCGCCCTGGTCCCCGCCTCACAGGGATTGGCTGGGGCCGGGGGTGGGGCAGCCAGGCACCAGGCCAGGCACACACCCCACCCCCACCCCACCCTGCAGAGCCAGTTCTGGACTCTGAGCGGCCAGGCCCTTCGCTGCCTGAGGCCTCGGGAGGAAGTTCCTTCTGGAAGCTCCTTGAGCTAAGAGCCTGGGACCTGGTCCCGGCTGCCCAGGTCTCCTCTGCCTCTGCCTCCCAGCCTCCCCTCAGCAAACCACTTCTCCCTGGACAAGGGGCACCCCCTCTCTAGAGAGGTCAGGTCAGAGAGAGCCCCAGCTTTGGAGTCGGGCTGGCCCGTCTCTCCCGAGGGGACAAGGCTGGAGAAGGGCCAGGAGCCAGAACTAGGCCCTGGCCAGCTGGGGTGTGGCCTTTAGTCCTGAGCCCTGGGAAGCCATTAGTGGCTCCTACCGCTTAAGGGCTTTAAGCATCAAGGGACATAATCCGATTTATGCATTGAGGAGCTCACGAGGGTTGCTGTGTGGAGCTGGGCTTGTGGGCAGGAGGCCCAGGCGGAGGAGGCTGTTGGGGAGATGGAGGTGGCCCTGGGCAAGGAGACATGGGTGAGACAGGAGAGAGCATCACGTCAGACAGGCAGGCCTGGGTGGCGTCCGGGAAGCTGGCCTGACACACCCTACCACGGGGCAGCCATATGCTTGGCCCAGCTCCCGGCTGTGAGGTAGATGCCTGTGTCTAAGGCATCCAGGTAGCCACGCCAAGGAGGCACCTGGATACACAGACGTGGAGCGCAGAGGAGAGGAGCCTGGGACTCCCTGGCCCAGAGTGGGTGACTGAGCCCAGAAACCCAGCAACTGGTGGGCATGAGGATCCAGTTAGAAGCTGGCCCCACACCAAGCACCGGAAATACCAGTACTAACAGCCAGGGTGAGGAGGGAGGTTAAGTGAGGGTGGAGTCGGGGAGGCCGCGGGGATAGGAGGGTGAAGTGGTCGTAAGCGTCGTGTGCCCAGGAGGTGGACAAGGCAACGTCCACTGTGGTGCTGGCTGGGAGACCTTGAGGGACCCGGCACCAGGCCGTTGAGGGGGCAGGAGAGGGACTGGAGCAGGTTCAAGAGAGGACAGGAAACCCGAGCACACGGGCCCCTGGAACCCCAGCCAGCACAAGATGACAAGGGTCAACTTCTTTTTAAAATTTTATTCACGGAAGTGTGAGTGTGAGGACAGACGGGGGGCTGAGCTGAGCACCAAGTCCCTGAACCTCCCAGCTCAGCGCCCCCCCAGCAGGACAGGACACAGACTTAGGGGGTGGGGACCCCAGCCCCACCCAGACAAGGTCAGAAACACAGGCAGGATCCAGGAATGCTAGCTGTCCCCCAGGAGGGCGGCGGCCAGCCGGACGGGGCTATTTGGGGATGCTGCCACCCTTTTTGGGAGTCGTGGGTTTCTTGCTCTGCCAGAGGTGTCCCTGGATAGTGAAGGCGTCGACGCTCATAGACATGGTCTTGGCAGGGATCTGGGTGAAGCGCTTGCGGTCCGAGTTGTATTTGTAGATACCCTCGACCATGGCGGGTGTGACGGTCCGCGGGCCATAGCCTGTCAGCCGCGTCAGCTCCTCCGTCTCCCCAGACAGCGTGTAGAGGGCCCGGAACTGGCAGCTGGAGTCCCGGAAGAGGATCAGGAAGTGGTTGGCCTTGCTCTTCTCAATTTCCTGGGGGAGAGTGTCAGAAACAGTCAGCTGGCTCGCGGGGGCTGCCGACCCGGCCCCCCGTGCCCCACCCCCAGGCCTGGGCGCACCTCGAGAATGCGGTTCTTCTGCGGCTCATTCACTTTGCCCGCCAGGCAGCAGTGTGACAGGGCGTTGTGGATGATGAACTTGTTGGACTTGGCACTGGGCTCCTTGTAGAGCCGTGGACCTAGGGGACAGGGGGTCAGCAAGCAGGACCAGGGGACAGGTAGGGCCCACTGCCCACCACCTGAAGCCCCCTACCTGTGTACTCTGGCACCGACGCCGGGGATGAGGCATTGCTGCCATTCTCCCAGTCGCGTTCCCGGCTACCAGGCAGGCGGCTCGGGGACATGAGGCCAGATGGGGATGGAGCTCTGCAGGGGGGAGGAGGGGGACAGGAATGGGGTCAGTGGGGTAGGGTGATGCCTCCCAGTATGTAGGAGGACCAGGAAAGGGGCAAGCCTAGAACACGGCAGAGAGGGAAGCGATGCACAGAGAACGGTACGTGTATATTGTATACGCTCCCAAGTATAGGCAAGCGCTCCCCCTGCACACTCTGCACCCTCAGGGACCCTCCATATTCACTTGGGTACAGAGAGACACTATCTTGAGTCTTCCTGGTCAGGGACACGCAACGCTGCCTGCACAGGTGTGCGTACACACACTCATGCCACATCATACACAGGCTCACGTACGTATATACACACACACACGGAGTCTGTGAAGCCACCTGGCACGTCACCTCCTGCCTGCCTGGGACAAACTCACCGAGACGTAGGCCTCTTCACGCCGAGGTTATTGGGGGCCTCGTTGGCCACGGTTGACAGTGAGAGGGTGGACTGGGAGTAGACCTTGCTGAGCCGAGAGCCTGGGAGCAGAGGGCACTGTCAGCCCCCACCTGAACCCCCTTACCTCCACAAGTGTCCAAGGGGGCCTGACTCAGCAGCCAGCCCTGCCCGAGACCCCTCACCCCACTGAGCCCCTACTAAAACCAGCTGCCAGCAAGTCGATTTTGACTCGTGGCGACACTGTGCGTGTCAGGAGAACCGCGCTCCATAGGGCTTTCTGTGGCTGACTTTTCGGAAGGAGACCGCCAGGCCTTTCTTTCGAGGCACCTCTGGGTGATCTTGAACCTCCAACCGTTTGGTTAGCAGCCGAATGAGTTAACCATTTATATCACACAGGGACTCCTAACACCCACTAGGGAGAGATTTTCCCAGTGCGCCATGGAGAAAGGCATTGGGTCAGTCCCTGTCCAAAACCCCTCACCCCTACACATGCCTGAGGGCCTCCTCACCCAAAATCCTTCGCCCTTCCACATCCCAATAGGCAAGGTGAAGCCCCACTGAGACATCTCCCCTGCAACCCTGCATGCTTCCCCCCACCCACACATACTCATGGGGGCCCCACCCCGCAAGTCCTGCAGGGTGGCACCCAAGATGCCCTGCCCCCAGGGTCCTCACCCAGCAGGCCGCGTGCAGGGCTTCGGGCCAGGGCCGAGTCGTCGCAGCAGCCAGAGCGAGGCCGGGGGGCCCTCCGCCGGCCCCGGCCTGGCCCCCCAGCCCCTGCTGCCCAGGGCCGCAGCACCTTATCAAGGTCGTCCATCAGCTTCAGCTGGGCCCGGCGCTCATACTCCAGCCTTGTGAACTCCCCCCGCCGGGTGCCCACCTCTTCCTCGGCTGGGGGCCGGGCTGCGGGGGCTGGGGAGGCCGCCTCCTCCTGGGCCAGCCTGCAGAAGGAGGGCATGGTCAGACAGCTCGAGGGGTCGCCAGGGGTCAGAGGAAGACCAGGGTCAGGGGTCACCAGGCCTCACCGGGCAGCCTCCTCCCTCCGCTGCTCCTTCTCCGCCTCCTGCCACTGCTTCCGCCGCTGAGCCTCCTCTGCCCGCCGCTGCTGCCGCTCCAGCAGGCTGGCTCGCTTCTGTGCCATCTCGTCCTCAGGCTTGTCTTCATCCTGGGGGCGACACCGAGTCAGTGCCACCCACCCTTGGCACATCTGCTAAGCTGGCCATTCTACCACCCTTTTGTTTTTGCAACTGTTCAAAAGGCATTCAGTCGGCACCTGGTTCATGCAGAGTCCCTGGGTGATGCAAAGGGTTGATGTGCTCCGCTGCTAACCAAAAGTGGGCAGTTCAAACCCACCCAATGGTGCCACGGAAGACAGGCCTGGTAATCTGCTTCTGTTAAGATTGTTGTTAACTGCCGTCCAGTTGATGCCGACTCATGGCAACCCCATGTGACAGAGCTTAACTGCCCCATAGGGTTTTTTAGGCTGCACTCTTTACAGGAGCAGATCACCAGGTCTTTCTTCCACGAACTGCTAGGTGGGTTCGAACTGCCAACCTTGTGGTTAACAGACGAGCGCTTAACTGTTGTGCCACCAGGGCTCTTCATTCTGTAAAGATTACAGCCAAGAAAACCCTGTGGAGCATGGTTCTACTCTGTAACACGCGGGATCACCAGGAGTCAGAATCAACCGAATGTCAACTAACAACACATGCATAGCAGAGTCCCCGAGTTGTGCAAACGGTTAACATGCTCAGCTACTAATCGAAAGGCTGGCGGTTTGAACCCACCCGGTGGTACTGCGGAAGATAGGCCTGGAGATCTGCCTCCATTAAGCTTACAGCCAAGAAAAGCCTATGGAGCAGTTCTACTCTGTCACACATGGAATCGCCATGAGTTGGAGGAGACTGGACAGCTACTGGTTTAGTTTACGCATAGCCCTCCACTGGGTACAGGGGCACAAAAGGGACCAAGTCAAACCTGGATGCTGCTCATGCAAAGCACTTAACCCAACAAGAAAGACGATGGAGTATCACACAGACAGCAGAAGGCAGCAAGAAGCACGTGGCGCTGCGGTCTACCCTGGGGAGAGGGACTGTCCTCATCTGGGGGCACCAAGGGAGGCTTCCTGGAGGAAATGACCCTGGAGAATGATGAGAAGGACTTGACTGGGTGGGGTTGAGGGGTGAGGGGAGTGTTGCTGGCAGAGGGAACAACACGTGCAAAGGCCCTGAGGCTGGAACAAGCCCAGCAGGGCCCAGAACAGCCTGGGTGCTGGTGTGGCTGGAGCTCAGAGCCGGAGGAGAGTGGCCCAGGATGGGGTGAGAGGTGAGTGCCGTGCGCCACACAGAGCCCAAGGCCCTGGGGAGAACTATCACTTTCATGCTAAGAACGGGGAGCTACAGAAGGGCTTTAAATAGGGGCATGACACGGTCCAATTGGCATTTTTAAAAATCCCTCTGGCTGCTCAGTGGAAGATGGGGTTGGGGGGCAGTAACAGCAGAGACCAGGGAGGAGATGGCTGCAGGCGACCAGGTGAGAGACGGCAGTGGCCCCAGGCTGGGGGTGCCAGGAGGATGGAGGAAAGTGGATGTGGGACAGGGTCAGCACAGGTGGGCAGGGGGGAGATGTCATTGAAGACCATACCCTCATTTGACCATCCCCTATCCTTCTGTCCATCACCCACCCCTATCAGTCTGACCAACCATCTGCCCATCTGTCTACCCACCCACCCTCTTTCTATCCACCCCATCTCTTTGTCCATCAGACCACCCATACCATGTCTGTCTGTCCACCCCATCTACCTGCCTATCCATTCATCCATCTACCCACCCATCCATCCAACCCATCTGTTTATCTGCCCACCAATCCAACTACTCACTTATCCATCAGTAAAACCCCTCTCCATCCATCTGTCCAGCCACCAATGAACATCCATATACCCTCTGTCCACCCATCTGTCCATCTATCTACCTATCCATGTCCCCACTCCCTAATCTATCCATCTACCCAGCCACCCATCTACCTATCCATCTACCCAGCTAACCATCTATCTATCTACCCAGCCACTCATCTACCTATCTATCTACCCAGCCACCCATCTATCCATCTACTTAGCCACTCACCCATCCATCCATCTACCCATCCACCTATCCATCCATCTGGCCACCCATACCTTGTTTGTTGGTCCACTTCCATCCACCCCAACCATTTGTGCACCCAACCACCCATCCATCTACCACCCATCTGCCTACCTTCTGTCGACCCCATCTATTTGTCCATCTGCCCACCCACCCATCAGTAAGGCACTATCCATTCATCTGTCCAGCCATCATGTCCATTCACACACCATGTACCTACCCTCTGTCCACCCACCCATCCATCCACCCACCTACTCACCCATCTGCCCAGCCACCCATTCATCTGTTCACCCACCCCTCAGTAAAGCCCTATCCATCTGTTATGGACTGAATTGTGTACCCCAAAAATATGTGTTTTGTTAGCGTGTGTCTTAAGTCAATCTCTCCTAAGATATAAAAGAGCAGATTAGGCATAAAGAAGTACAAAGAGAGATGGGGGAGGACAGATGCCATGCCACATGAAGATCACCAAGGAATCAAGGGACAAGGGCCTTCCCCTAGAGCCAACAGAGAGAGAAAGCCTTCCTCTAAAGGAAGAATTCCAACTTCTAGCTCCCTGTGAGAAAATAAATTTTTGTTTGTTAAAGCCACCTACTTGTAGTATTCATGTTATAGCAGTGCTAGATAACTAAGACACCACCCAACCATCTGTCCAGCCACCCAGGTCCATCCACCAACCCACATGTACCTATCTGTCCACCTACCTGTCCACTCTTCACCCACCTGCTCAGGTGACTCTCACCTTATAGAAGAATCCGAGCCCAGCCCTGGGTTCTCCCTCCGAAGATGCCTCTTCCTCTAGGGAATCCTCAGCACCAGGGGGGCTCCCGTCTCCCTCATCCTCGGCTGAGGGCTCTTCCAGGCTGCCCAACGGGATCTCGATGAGGCCAGGCCGGGCTGTGGGCTCCTCGGGAGGAGTTCCCTCCGCCAGGAGGATGGAGGAGCGCGTCTGCACGGGCACCTGGCTCGGTGAGAACTTGCGCAGGTGGGGAAGGCTGTCTACGTCGTTGGGGGGCGTGAGTACCCTTGTCAGGGGTGCCAGCCGCAGCTCTGCCGGCCGGGCATGTTTCGGGCTGCGAGGTGTCGGGCTGGGACCGGGCCCGGGGCTGCGACGGGGGGTTGGGGCACGGCGAGCAGGGCTGGGGGACGTGGCTTTGGGGCCTGTCGTGGGGCCAGGGATGACCCAGGCAGCAGGTGGCGAGGCGGGCCCGGGAGCCTCATGTGGGGCCAGGAGCCGCTGCTGCTGGTCCGTGAGCCTCTGCATGTCCCGCTGCAGTGAGCTCAGCGCGGCACTCAGCTTGCTGACCGCCCGGTTGTAGTCCCCAAGGCCTTCGGGGGGCAGCGGCCCCAGCTCTGGCGAGAAGGTCACTGCCTTGGGCCGCGGGGACGGCTCGCCCTGGCCCTCGCCTGCTGGCCGCTCCGCACCAGGGGCCGGGCCTGCCTCTGCCTGCCCACGAGCCTCCTCCTCTGTGGCGCCGGCCGCCTCCCGAGGCTGCACCTGCAGGAAGGCACTCTTGCCCAGGCGCTGGCGGTGCTTGGCGAAGATGGCCTCGATGCGCCGCTTCTGGGCCTCAATGGCCCGGCGCTTCTCCTCCAGCCGGGCGCCAAGCTCACTCATCTCCGAGCTCAGGGCCTCAGGGGCCGCCGGGGTGGCCACTGGGGACCCCGCTCCGGCCTCGGTCTCAGCCTTTATCAGCTGCTTCTTGCGTTCAGCAAAGCTGGTCATCTTCACTTCAGAGTTGGTGGCCGCTGGGGACGAAGCCGCTGCTTTAGGGGACCCCTCAGATGGGGCCAGGGGTTTCAAAACCTCCCCAGGCGGGCAGGGAGATGGTTTCAAGGGGCCCTCGGGGTGGGGCAAGTAGACGGATACTCTAGTGGTGGGCCCGTCAGGCAGTACTTTCGAGGGCCCCTCAGGTGGGCAGGGGGAGGCCAGCGGCAGTTTTGAGGGCCCCTCGGGGGAGTGGAGGTAGAAGCTGCCGTCGGCGGCCCCGTCGGGGAGCAGCCGGGGCTCAGCGCTGTGGATGATCTGCAAGGCCTCCTCGATGGTGGGCAGGTCTCCGGGCTCTGGGGGTGGCAGGGTGGGGGTCCGGGCCTGCGCAGGGCGGGGGGGCCCCAGGCTGTCCGAGCTGACTGAGCGGAGCAGGACGGGGTCTCCCATGACGACATCCACGTCGCTGTCCAGGCCAAAGGGGGTGCTGAACGACACAGCCTGGGAAAGGGGGCGGCTGGGCGGCCGGAGGGACGGGTCAGCCCCTGGGGCAAAACTCGGCCCCGCTCCAACCCCGCCCCACCCGGGCCCTCAGTGGTTCTCACCTGAGCTGGCGGTTCCAGGCCTTGCCCAGGGCCTCCATATGGGACATGGACGGTGAGGACTTCAGGGAACCTGGCGGGGACAGGGCGTGATCATTCAGCAGTCACTGTGAGGGCAGGCAGGGCCTGGGTCAGGGAGTGTCACTGGGTGAGTCACTAGTGGGTCATTATGTGCTCTAGTCAGACCCAAGGTTTCTAGAAACAGACAGCTGGGGCCCATTTAGGGTCACTATGGGGCCCTGTGGAGCTGCTGGAGGGGTGTCACTTTGTCACTCAGGTGCCGCTGGAGGGGTCACAAGGAGACAACAAGTGGTCAGCTGGGGCAGTCTCTGATTGGGTAGGGTCCCCAGTGACAGGAGCCCGCCTCCGCCTCCTCACCTGTGGATCCGCGGAGTGGGGACTGGGGGCCACCGGAGGACAGGAGTGGGTGGCGGAAATTGAAGACAGGAGAACTGCCAAGAGACGCCTGTCAGCCACGGGATGCCCACCCTTGCCCTTGCCTCTCCCAGGGGACACGCCCAGCCCTGTCCCAGCACCAAGCCAGGAGGAGGGGCCCACTGCAGCGGCGTATTTGCCCAGTTGGGGATCTGTACCTGCTACCACTGCGGTTCTGGGGTGGGGAGGCCTCTGTGCCTCGGGGGGAGGCAGCTGTGGACAGAGAAGGGGGTCAAGCTTGGCCACACGTCCCCCCTCCCCACCTGTCCCTCGGCCGGGCCTCACCGTGCCCATCGGGCAGGTCCTTGGGCTGCACAAAGTCAGGCTTCAGCACCTCGAAGCACATGAACATATCAGCCAGCAGTACCACCAGGTTGACCTGGTGACAGAGGCAGGGTCAGCCGCTGGGACCCACAGCCCAGGATTCCCACCTTGGCCCACCAGGCCCTGTGATGGCCTCACCTTGAGGGGCGGGGGGACATAGAGCAGGTCTTCCAGGGACAGCGGGCAGCCACGCGGAAGGCGGGAGGCGCAGAAATCCTGTACCAGTTGGAGGTTGTACAGGCTGTCCGCCACCGACATGGGGTCCTTGAGGCAGACCTCTGTGGGGAACAGGAGGCCTAGGTCCCCGATTTTGTGGGAAGGAGGGAATCCAGGGCCCCGCACAAAGACACCAATGGCCACCATACATGAAGGACCTTGGTGAGGTGGGTACCGCTGCACTGTTCCTCGAGACTCTGCCCCAGGACCTTTGCACCTGCTGTTCCCACCACCTAGAATGCTAGTCCCCCAGGAGCTGCCCAGAGCTGGCTTCTGTAGGTCTGAACTCAAGCCACTGCCTCAGGAGCACTTTTCCCGACTATCCATGGCCCTCGGGGCACTTAACGGCTACAATGTACTGATTGATGAACTTACTATCTTTCTCCCCAGTTGGGAGGGAAGCTACCCAAGGGCAAGGAGTTTGTACTGTTCTCACGGGGCTGGCACCCAGTACTCACTCAATCAATATTAGCTGTGGGAATGAATTCTATGAAGCTCAGAGATGTTTATACTCTTGTATGAGATCACATAGCTAACTAGAGAAAGAGAGAGTTCTCAGCCCAGATACACTGATTCTGGAAGCTCCACTGATAACCACACCATCGTTCTGCCCCCAAGCTGGGCATGGATGTGCGGATCTGGGAGACAGAGCATGGATGTGCGGATCCAGGGACAGAGGCCTAGATGCTGGGTCACAGGACACCGGCTCCCTGGGACAGGGTCAGGGTCTGGCCCAAGCTCATCCACTCACCCTCAAGTCGCAACAGCTGGGGACAGTAGCAGTGAATGGTGGCGGCCAGCGCGGCCCCACTCGCCAGGTCTTGAAGGCTGGTCACCGTTGGGAAGCAGGGGGCGCGTCGGGCCACAGCGCGGTCCTTGCGGTACCGGATCTGCGTGTGGATGGGAGCCGGGTCAGGTCAGAGGTCAGCCTGGCCCCTAGGTCGGAGATCATGCAGGCTGGGTGGGGAGGCCTGGGGTTCTCGCCATGAGGGGCGTGAAGCTGGGGTTCCCAGAGCCACAGTGGGGGGAGGGCAGCCTGGAGCGGGGGAGGGGCAGCAGCGAGAGGCAGAGGAGCAGCCGGGCCAGCAGCAGGGGCTGGGAGCAGGGACTCCTGGGACCCCAGGGTGGGGGATACATTACCATGGGGGGTTTGCTCCCCGACTCCTTCAAACAGAAGGCAATTGCGTGCTGGGGGGGGGAAGGAGCAGCCGTCAGGCGGGCAGGAGGGGGGCTGACTTGCTGGGACCCTGAGCCCACTTCCGGGGGGATGGCCCTGTTGCCTGTCCTGAGCCCTGGCCGTCCAGCTCCCTAACTGTGCTCTGGCCGGCTGTAGGGATCCCAGCTCCCCCCAGCTCCGAGGGACCCCACAGAGCAGCCCCCCGTGCAGGCAGCCCCCCCACAAAAGACCCAGGCCCCCAGCTCAGGGGGAGGATGCGTGGGATGCAGGTAGGCAGGAGAAGAACCCCAACCCAGGCCCCAGGACAGGGGGAGGAAGCCCAGGCGTGAGCAGAGGCAGGGACCCTCCCCCCACTGACAGGGTCAGACCCCCTGGTTGGGCTTCAGGGATGGGCATCCCCTTCCCAAAAGCCGAGGTTTCCTTAGGGAAGCTGGGCTCTCAGCGAGGGTCTTCTACCCTCCTCTGGATTTTAAGGTCTTTCTCTTGGCTGAGGGGATCCTTTCCATTTGCCCTGCCCATTGGGGTCACTATTCCTGTGGTCTGATGGGCTGGGGGTATCCCCATCTTGGTTAAGGGGGAGAGGCAAAGAGGGACAAGCTGTGAGAGTCTGCTCTCTTCGTTAATAAGGGGTTTCACCCTCTTGATTAAAGGGGGAGCAACATCCACCCTGTCGGTTAGTGGGGTGGGGTGATGCTACCCTTTTCTTGGTTAACAGAGGAGTTCTTTCTGTTCCCAGGGGTTGGGGTCCTCCCTCCTTTGCTCATAGCTGGGGGAGGCAGGAGAGGGCTCTATCAGGCAGGCAGACACAGGCAGACACACGGACAGAGGAACAAGTGGGGCAGACAGATGGGGTGGACAGACAGCCCCACTTACAGGAACCAGCTTCCAGTACCAGCGTGTGGGGCACTGAGGCCACAGAGAGGCAGAGAGGAGAACAGCAGGGGTGGGCGGAAGGGCAAGGCAGAGAGAAAGAGAGAGAGAGAGAGTCACCAGCAGCCCACCCACCACAGGAAGGGCAGGAGGCACAGCCCGCCGTGCCCACCCAGCCCTCCAATCATCTGTCCGTCCGTCCATCCGTCCCTGCCCCAGCCTCACCGAGGGCTGCGCTGAGGCCACCCCGTCCGCGGGGGCAGGCGACGCTCGCTGGGCTGCTTCCTGCTCCGTCTTTTCCTGCAGCCGCCGGACGGTCTGAGAGGCAGGGAGAGGTCAGTGCTAAGCCGCTGGGCGACCCTGCCCCCAGCCCATCCCAGACAGGCTCCACCTACCGAGTCCACCCAAAAGAGGAGCTTGTGCTCCAAGCTGCCTAGGGCCAAGGGGCCGGGCAGCGTCTTTGTCCACTCCAAGGCGAAGACAACCATGAGGGCGTCAATGACAGCTAGGTGGGCGCTCTGCGGGGACAAGGGCTTGAGGATGAGAGCAGAGTAGGCCAAAGGGGAAGGACAGGATGGATCTGGGGGTGGGAGGGGCTAGAGGCGGAAGCCTCAGGGGCGGGGCCAGCAGGTGGTGCCCTGAGGGAAGGAACGAGGATAGGGGAGGATAGGGGGCCCGGAAGAGCCAAGCTTGGTGGGTGGGGTTCGAGGCCAAATGCTATGCTTTAGGATCAGATGGGTCACATAGGTGAGTCCTTTTAGGGGTAGTGTATTTTGGGGAGGGGAAGGCTTGGTGGAAGGAGACTTGGAGGAGAAACGAGGCTTTGGTGAAGTCAAGCCCCTGGGCTAGGGTCTTTGATGGGGGGAACCAGGCCTGGTGGGGGCGCCTTGAGGGGAGGAGCAAGGCCTGGTGGGCGGGGCCGGCGGGGCGGGGCCTACCATGAGGATGGGCTGGTGCCGCAGGTCGGCCTCGCGCACCGGGCGCTCGGGCAGCGTGGGCACCATGCCCTTCTGCGCCAGCAGTGCCAGCAGCGCCGAGGGGCTGGGGGGTGCCTCCAGCTGTGGCAGCCCCTGGCGCCAGGCCCGGCAGTAGAGCTCGGCCGAGAGCAGTAGCCGCGTCACCGGGGGCTTCACGTGCTCCTGCGCATACTGGTCCGTGTAGAAGGGTTCCCACAGCTCCGGGGGCACGTGCTCTGTGGGGATGGGGAGGGGCTTGGCCTGTCAGGGACACTGCAGACTCCCCCAGCCCCACCCCCGACACCCTCCCTACACACGGTCCCACGGGCCCCGACTACAGGCCTGGCTTGGGTGGGTGCCCCAGGTTGGGACCGTAGGGACACCTGGGCTGAAACTACAGGTGGCGAGGGGTTTGCCAGAGGAAGAGCTGATGGTGTTCCAGGCAGAGAGGCCTGCAAGTGCAAACACCAGGCAGTGGGAGGGAGCACAAAGTGGCTGGCCCCAAGGGAAAGCACCATGGCCAACTGGGGGGTCTTGTAAAGTGGGGTCTTACAGGGGTGGGGGGGACCTATCAGATCCACCCCTTAGGAAAGCCTCTCCAATGCTTGGTCAGGAAGGAAACTAAGAGGCAATAAAAACACTTAGTCACTTCAAGTGGCCTTATTTGAGCCTTACAACGACACTAGGAAGCAGCCCTGGGCAACTGTTAAGTGTTTACAGATGAGGAAACTGAGGCACAGAGAAGGAAAGTAACCTAAGGTCACACAGGTAGCTAGTCAACTCAACGGTGGGGCTGGGACTCAAACCCAGGCCTTAAACAGATTATCCACCTCTCTGGCTTGGGGCTGGGGGTGTGGCATCCTGGGAAGAGTGAGGGGCTCGCTGGCAGGGCCCTAGCACACAGTATGGGGTAGTGTGGATGGATTTACAGATGCTTCGAGGGGGTTGGGTGGGCTGAACCTGGGGACTGATGGGAGGAGGTGGGGGGGGGAGAGGGAGGCGCCCGGCCCATTGGGTCCGAGGGGGCTATGGAACAGCCGGGCGATGGCTGAGATAGGGATACAGGAGGGGTAGCAGGTGAGGGGGTAGAAGTTAGGGATGTCCAGGAGGCAGAGGACATGAGGGGCGAGGGCATATCAGAGAGGTAGCCCCAGAAACACTGGATTAGAAGGGCAGGAGGAAGGGGGGAAGCCTCACATGGGAGAACAGGTGGGTAGCAGAGTGCCAAGGACCCAGGGTGGAGAGAAGCAAGATTAAAGAAGCTGCCACGACAATGGGGAGACAATGGGGAGGAGGTAACTGAGGCCAACAGTTGCCCTGGGGGCTGGGAGAAAGGACTTGTCCTTATGGGGAGAACTGCCTTCAGGGCGAGAGCTCCAGGGAGGCTCCTGGCCGTACTCTTGTTCCAGTCGGAGCAGCTGTTTTATATATTGAGGCTCTATATGTACTGAGGCTGTATGTAATCAACTCAATGGCAGCAGGTTTGGTTTATTATCTGTATGTTTGCAAGGAGTCTCTGGGTGGCCCAAATGGTTAAACACTCGGCTGCTAACCAAAAGGCTGGCGGTTCAAATCCACCCAGAGGTGCCTTGGAAGGAAGGCCTGGCAATCTACTTCCAAAAAGTCACAGCCTTGAAAACCGTATGGAGCACAGTTCTACTCTGACACACATGGGGTCTCCATGAGTTGCAATCGACTCAATGGCAACTGGTGGTGGTGGTGTTGATGTTAGGTGCCATCCAGTCGGTTCCAATTCATAGCAACCGTATGTACAACAGAACAAAACACTGTCTGGTCCTGCGCCATCCCCACAATCATCGTTATACTTGAGCCCATTGTTGCAGCCACTGTGGCAATCCAATTCAATGAGGATCTTCCTCTTTTTTGCTGACCCTCTGCTTTACCAAGCATCATGTCCTTCTCCAGAGACTGATCCCTCCTGATAACATGTCCAAAGTATGTGAGACAAATTCTCACCATCCTCACTTCTAAGGAGCATTCTGGCTGTACTTCTTACAAGGCAGATTTGTTCGTTCTTCCAGTCCTCCACTGTATATTCAATATTCCTCGCCAACACCATAATTCACAGGCATCGATTCTTCTTCTGTCTTCCTTATTCATTGTCCAGCTTTCACATGCATATGAGGCGACTGAAAACACGATGGCTTGGGTCAGGCACACCTTAGTCCTCAAGGTGATATCTTTGCTTTTCAGAGGTCTTTTGCAGCTGATTTGCCCAATGTAATACATCATTTGATTTCTTGACAGCTGCTTCCATGGGTATTGATTGTGGCTCCAAGTAAAATGAAATCCTTGACAACTTCAATCTTTTCTCTGTTGCTTACTGGTCCAGTTGTGAGGATTTTTGTTTTCTTTATGTTGAGGTGTAATCCATACTGAAGGCTGTGGTCTTTGATCTTCATCAATAAGTGCTTCAAGTCCTCTTCACTTTCAGCAAGCAAGGGTGTGTCATCTGCTTATCATAGGTTGTTAGTGAGTCTTCCTCCAATCCTGATGCTGCATTCTTCTTCATACAGTCCAGCTTCTCAGATTATTTGCTCAGCATACAGACTGAATAAGTATGGTGAAAGGATACAACCCTGACACACACCTTTCCTGACTTTAAACCACGCAGTATCCCCTTGTTCTGTCTGAACGTCTGCCTCTTGGTCTGTGTACAGGTTCCTCATGAGCACAAAAAGGTGATGATGGTGATATATTTGAAAGGGGGTTCTACTACTTAAAAAAACTCTTTGAACATGTCTCCCCAGCCCTTCCCCACGTCATCCTCTTCACAGCCATCCCCCGCAGAGACCCCCACCCTTGCCCTTGAGGACCCAGGGATCCTAGCCTCCAGCCCCTCTCAACACAGGCTCCTTCCCCACGCTCTAAAATCACTTCTGACCTCCCCATGCCGTATAGATCTGTGCCCTCTCCCGCCTCTCTCAGCTCAGCTGCTTGAAAGAAAAGGGTTCTCCAGGCTTCGCTTCCTCCTGTCCAACCTCCCCAAGGCCAGCAGTGACCGGGCCAAGCACATCTATGGGCCTGTATCTCACTCGAGATTTCTGCCTAAAACCTCCTTCTTCTGGAACCTTCCTCCCCCAGCATCTCCTGGCTTTCTCTCACTCCAAGCACCCAAGCCCAGCCTCCTCACAGCCATCACTACTTGCCCCTTTGATGTGTGGCTCCTGACAGCTATCTGAGCACCCTGAGAACTAGACATGCGCCCCAAGAGGGCTTCTGTGACTGTTATGGGCTGAACTGTATCCCCCAAAGAGATACATCTAAGTCCTATAGCCCCTGTATCCATGAACGTGATCTTGCTTGGGAACAAGGTCTTTGAAGATGTTATCAGTTGAGTTAAAATGACGTCATAATGGAGTAGGGTGGGTCCTAACCCAAAATGAAACAAACCAAACCAGTTGCCATCCAGTAGGTTCCAACTCATGGTGACCCCATGTGTGTCGGAATAGAATTACACTCCATAGGGTTTTTAATGGCTATAATCTTATGGAAGCACATCACAAGACCTTTCCTTCAAGGTGCCCCTGGGCGAGTTCAAACCACCAACCTTTCAGTTAGTAGCTGAGTGCTTTATCAGTTGCACCACCCAGGGACTCCCATCCAATATGAGTGGCGTCCTCATAAAAGAAAAGAGACACAGCGACAGGCACAGGGGAGGAAGATGGCGGCAGAGATTGGAGTGACGCTGCCACAAGCCAGGGAACACCTGGGCCCACCAGAAGCTGGAAGAGACAAGGAAGGACCCACCCTAGAGACTTCAGAGACAGCAAGTCCCTGCTGACACCCTGAATTTAGATTTCTGGCCTCAGAACTGTGACAATACGCTTCTGTTGTGTGAAGGTACCCACCATGTGGTATTTTGTTACAGCAAACCAAAAAAACCAAACCTGTTGCCGTCGAGTCAATTCCGACTCACAGGGTAGAACTGCCCCATAGGGTTTCCAAGGAGCAGCTGGTGGATTCCAACTGCCACCCTCTTGGTTAGCAGCCAAACTCTTAACCACTGCACCTCCTCCAGGGCTCCTTTGTTATAGGAGCTCTAGGAAACCAATGGAGTCCCTGGGTGGTGCAAGCGGCTAACACACACAACTACTCGCCAGAAGGTTGGCGGTTCAAACCCACCCAGAGGCACTTCGGAAGACAGGCCTGGCAATCTGCTTCCCAAAGGTCACAACCTTGAAAACCGTATGGAGCAGTTCTACTCTGCACACATGGGGTCACCATGAGTCAGAACGGACTTAATGGCAACAAACAGCAACAACAATCTTATGGAAAGGTCCCCGGGATGCACCGTTTGCTCTCGGCTGCTAACCTAAAAGTGGTTCGAACCAACCCAGCAGCGCCACGGAAGACAGGCCTGGCGACCTGCTTCTGCAAAGATTACAACCAAGAAAGCCCTATGGAGCTCAGTTGTACTCTATAACACATGGGATCACCATGAGTCGGAATTGACTCAATGGCAACGGGTTTGGTTTTGGTTTTTTAATTTCACAGAGGTAGATTACCAGGCCTTTCTTCAGACGAAGCCAAATGTCCTCTAAGGGGCAAAACTGGTCGCAGTTGAGAACACCGCTTTACGCCACTGACCATTTCCCAGACATTCACTGTCCAACAACACTGCCCACTAGAAACAGAATGCAAGCCCCATCCGCAGTTTCAGCTTTTCTAATAGCCACATTAAAACAGTAAAAAGAAGCAAGTAAAACGAATTTAGTAATACATTTTTTAAATCCACTATACTCAAAATAAGGAGCCCTGGTGGCGCAGTGATTACACGCTCAGTTGCTAACTGAAAGATCTGCAGTTCGAACCCACCAGCTGCTCCACAGGAGAAAGATGTGGCAGTCTGCTTCTGTAAAGGTTACAGCCTTGGAAACCCTATGGGACAGTTCTACTCTGTCCTATAGGGTCACCATGAGTTGGAATCGTCTTGACAGCAATGGGTTTTTATACCCAAAATATAATCATTTCAACACGGAATCAACATTCAACATAAAAACATTGTTAATGAGATAATTTAATTACATTCTTTTTTTTTTTTTTTGGACTAAGCCTTCGAGATCTGGTGTGTATTTTACACGCTTACAGGGCCTCTCGAGTGGGGCCAGCCACACTGAAGTGCTCAGGAGCCCCATACTGGATGGCACAGTTCTGCAGCATAGCTAACACTGACTTGTGCCATGACCTTGCATGCCTTCACTCCTTTGATCCTTATCCTTATCCCCATTTTACAGATGAGAAAACAAAGGCCCAGAGAGCTAGATGACATGCCTAAGATCACACAGCTAGTAGATAGCAGAGCTTCCCTCACAGGTCACACTGATGTCTTCAAGGTGTTAGGGACAGCAGGCAGTGTTTCTCAAACTTGTTCAAGGAGGAAACCCTTTCTTATCTCTGAGCCCACCTGCATGCATTGCTGCACAGCCTCTTCATACCTGTGCCTGGGGCCACCAGAGCTCTCCCTTCCCCAGAGCCACCATTCCACCGGGCAAGTGCTTATCAGATCCCCACCCCAGCCTCCCAAAGTCCAGCCCTCTAGCGCCTCCCAGCCTGAGATATGAGGGGCTGGGGCAGTCTTGGGTCCCCCTCACAGCCCCTTTTCTTTCTCAAGCAGATGCTTGGGGGTGGGAGGGCCCCGCATGGGAGGCAGCAGGGAGAGAGACTTCAAGAAAGAGGAAGAAACAGGGACCCGCATGTTCTCTGAGCACTCCCTGTTGGTCCAAACCCCAGGCCTCTGTACATGCAATCTCCTCCCCCCAGCACACTCCTATGCATCCTTCAAGGCCGAAACCCTTCCTCTGAGGAGCCTCTGGGGAGCTTTCTCCTTTCTCCCTGGAAGATTTCAGGGATTTCCTCCCCTTGGCCCTCTGGGCGCTTATCACTGTAAGCAGCTTATCACTGGAAGCAGAGATGATCGGGTTCCATCCCCCATCCTCTCTCCTATGTCCTAAGCGCCTAGTACCAGCCTGACACCAGAGTCCCCGAGTTCATGAACCTAGCAAAGCTCCGTCCTCACTTCCCTCCCAGGACCCGGTGTCCCACTTCCTCAGCCCCCCTGTTTAGGGGGGGCAGGAGGGGGACAGTTTGGACTTGACCCTCAGGGTGGTGGCAGCTACTGGGGGTGTCACACAGGGGAGGGTGCCGCTGGGTCAGTGAGAACAGAACCAGGCAGGTCAAGACATCTGGGATCTTACCAACACCCCTCAGGGGACCTCACTTTCCTCTTTGCAAAATGGGGTCGTAATTGCAGGTCCGTCCCCTGGCCAGGGGAAGATGAACAATATTAATACTATTAATAAAGATGTTACCAACATAGCGGCAGCAATCGAGAGCATCTGTTCAGTGTGTTCTTGGTCCCAGGTGTGGGGCTAAGGATTTTCTACTCAGGGTCCCTTTCACCCCTCCCAGCAACCTTGTGAAGGTACTGGTGTCACTGTCACCTGAGGCCTGCCTGGCACACATGGATGTCCCCACACATTTACAAACTAAATACGTGAACAAGGGATTCCCAGAGTGGGAACTGGAAGCTGGAAGAACTGGGACTACTCATCCACACTCTGGGGGCGGCTGGGACTCAAAGTCAACACACACATCGACTCCAAAGTCCAGCCCTCTAGCACCTCAAAACCTGGGATGTGAGGGGCTGGGGCAGTCCTGGGTCCCTCTCAGAATACCCCTTCTTTCTCAAGCAGATCTTTGGGGGTGGGCAGGCCCCAGCGTGGGCCTAGGTGGGAGGCGGCAGGGAGAGAGACTGGGAGAAAGTGCAGGAAACAGGCCGGGGAGGAAGCAGGAGCTGGACAGCTGTCACCGAGACCCACACCCAGAACAGGTTGATCTGGGAGGGCCACGGGGAAGGCGGAGGGGCTGTGCCCAGTTGCTGCCAGGCCCAGAGGAAGGGCAGGGCGCCCCCCACACACACCAGGGCTCCCGGGAAAGCCTAGACCTTAATTAATTAACCCCTGCCTTCCCCATGGCTGGTCAGGGCTCCCAGCTCTGGCCTGGGGCGGCCCAGGGCTTCTAATCCCTCATCCTCCCCATTAGGGTGGGCGAGATCAGACCTGTGGGCCTGCAGGAGGGCGTCGAGGATCCGCCCGGGGCAGAAGGCCCTGTATCTCCCTGCCTAGGGGAAAGGAGCGGCGGTCTGTCCCAGGTTATCTTGGTCCAGCCCTTTCCCTTCTCCTGGGCTCCCCGGCCTCCTCCCTAAAATGGGGCGATCACTCACACCTGCCAGGGGCCGGCCGGAGCCATGGAGGCGACGCGGCCCCGAGAGCTGCCGGGCGGCGCCCGCAGCGCAGGCCGAACCACGAGGGTGTGTGTCCGGGCCGGGGACCGTGCGGGAGGGTCTAGGGCCTCTCGGCGAGGGCAGGGTCCCGGCGGGCGCGTGACTGAGTGTGTAAAGCGGCGGGTGGAGAGGAGGCAGCAAAGGAGAGGCCCCGGGGGAGGTGGGAGGCCGCAGGGCGGCCGGAGACCCAGGCGGCCAGCAGCCCCCGCCGCTCACCTGGGGTCCGGACGCCGGGGTCCGGACGCCGCGCCG